CACATTCACATTGTATTCACCGTCTCAAATTGACTCATTCTCACGACAATTGAACAAAATAGAATCTTCCCTGAACACCTCATCGTCGCCTACACCTACACCTGAAAACTAACAGAAGTCCATACGCACAGAGAAAGAAGAAAAATGCATCGACACAATTTTACATGACTGAAACACTAGTGTCGCCACGAAACGCACCTCAATCGTACCTCAATCGCACAGCAGCAACAACAACAACAACACTCACATCCTATACCAACCAACCATGTCACAAAATAATCACAACACTACACTACATTACAACTAGTGTCAAAATTACACTCACTTCACTTGACACCCGTCACACACAAATCACCTCCTCTTCTCACCCACCTAAGCCAGAATTCAAATATCACAAAGCTTACTTCTTCGCCATCTCATTCAGCCACATAGATAAATATATTCATCTTCCTCCATAAGCCAGTCAATGTCAATATCACCAACCACCACTTTGCATACCATAGATGCATATGGGAATTCAACACATCCCAACTATTCAGGTCCCACAAACACACACATCGCGTCTTCTTTAGCCTTGTCTTCCGTCCTCTAATCTGGTAACCTCTCCTCCGAATTCATAAAACCTATTCTACCTTGCTCTCCACGCCAGTCCAATCCATTCCACTCAAGACCACTACAGTACAGTCTTACAACACACCTACATAACAGAATTAAGCACACTATCGCATAGTTAACAGTCAACGCTAGTATCATAAGTAACCAATCTACCCTATTCATATTACATCTAAACACTAAGCACTACTCACACTCACAACGACAACGTCATTTCACCACTCGAATCGGTAACTTCAATCACTTGCACCAACTACAATCTTCTCCACAACAACGGATCACTACAGTGCAATTCACTCTCATTTGAAATGGAAAGTAAACACTGACACAGACAACATCCTAACCGGCCACACACATCACCTACAAAATTGACCAGCCTACACTTATGTGTATGACGTACCTGAGCATCCTCATGCAACACCCATCACTGTGTAGTTGGTTGTTTGTCTTTGTGGTGCGTGATCATTTTCAATTTAATATTATCCATGTTTCAATTATATTTGTTGAGTGTAGAGTGGAAGTATTTTCTTGTTTAGTCCTCCATTTGTGCGTCGATGGCTTGGGACTGAGATTAACCCTTGGTTTATTATAGATCCACCTTCGAAGGAATTGGTGAATATTATTCGAAAGCAAAAGCTCCCAGACGGTTCTGCCTCGTATGAAATAACAGAAAAACCATCCCTGAGAATAAGGAGCTTGAATGGAATGATTACGTGTGAGGTTGCTTCATGGAAATATTGCTTTCAGTTGTCATTATTTCTAGGTGGTTTCTGCTACAGTGCACTGAATAAGGTGAAAGTGGTTACTAAGACTTACTTACATGACGTCCGCGATCGTGTATTCAAAAGGGAAGGCGGGAAAAGAGATCATATGTCCCTAGGTACACTCAAGTGAACACACTACAAACAGCTTCAATGTATACCGTTCAGACAAATTGTAATTTCTTCTTACCAAGTTGGTGTGGACTGCAAAACTGCTGACAGGATTACTGCAACAATTCCATTAAATGAAAGCTAACTCTATAATGTAATTGTTATTGAGTAGTTATAGGAGCAAGGACAAATAAAACTCACACCGTCTACTATCCTTGCAAACATTATGATTATTAATGCTGTCACTCATATGAATTACGTGCAGATATATATACATACATATAGTTCGAAACACGGTTAGGTCTATTTTTAAACCACTAAATTTTTATCACATATAATACGAGTTTCTTCGAGATTAAAGATACTCCTTGCTAACGACCGACAACTGGCACGACACCTAGGTCCAAGGCTTCTTCCCAATGACCTCCAACCATCTAACAGATATAATAAAGTTGGTATACTTCATTAATCACTGACAACGCCAACAACGTCCTGTCAACTAGAAAACAATTACCTCACAATACCACTTTGTCATCATCCACTCAAACAAACTCAATACACAATCACAATCTCACTCACTTACAACATCTCTCATTCCATCCACACCACAGAACTCCCTGGACACGAGAAGGAATCTGCAAACGAAATGTAAACAATTCACCTACAACACATTCACATTGTATTCACCGTCTCAAATTGACTCATTCTCACGACAATTGAACAAAATAGAATCTTCCCTGAACACCTCATCGTCGCCTACACCTACACCTGAAAACTAACAGAAGTCCATACGCACAAAGAAAGAAGAAAAATGCATCGACACAAGTTTACATGACTGAAACACTAGTGTCGCCACGAAACGCACCTCAATCGTACCTCAATCGCACAGCAACACCAACCAACCATGTCACAAAATAATCACAACACTACACTACATTACAACTAGTGTCAAAATTACACTCACTTCACTTGACACCCGTCACACACAAATCACCTCCTCTTCTCACCCACCTAAGCCAGAATTCAAATATCACAAAGCTTACTTCTTCGCCATCTCATTCAGCCACATAGATAAATATATTCATCTTCCTCCATAAGCCAGTCAATGTCAATATCACCAACCACCACTTTGCATACCATAGATGCATATGGGAATTCAACACATCCCAACTATTCAGATCCCACAAACACACACACATCGCGTCTTCTTTAGCCTTGTCTTCCGTCCTCTAATCTGGTAACCTCTCCTCCGAATTCATAAAACCTATTCTACCTTGCTCTCCACGCCAGTCCAATCCATTCCACTCAAGACCACTACAGTACAGTCTTACAACACACCTACATAACAGAATTAAGCACACTATCGCATAGTTAACAGTCAACGCTAGTATCATAAGTAACCAATCTACCCTATTCATATTACATCTAAACACTAAGCACTACTCACACTCACAACGACAACGTCATTTCACCACTCGAATCGGTAACTTCAATCACTTGCACCAACTACAATCTTCTCCACAACAACGGATCACTACAGTGCAATTCACTCTCATCTGAAATGGAAAGTAAACACTGACACAGACAACATCCTAACCGGCCACACACATCACCTACAAAATTGACCAGCCTACACTTATGTGTATGACGTACCTGAGCATCCTCATGCAACACCCATCACTGTGTAGTTGGTTGTTTGTCTTTGTGGTGCGTGATCATTTTCAATTTAATATTATCCATGTTTCAATTATATTTGTTGAGTGTAGAGTGGAAGTATTTTCTTGTTTAGTCCTCCATTTGTGCGTCGATGGCTTGGGACTGAGATTAACCCTTGGTTTATTATAGATCCACCTTCGAAGGAATTGGTGAATATTATTCGAAAGCAAAAGCTCCCAGACGGTCCTGCCTCGTATGAAATAACAGAAAAACCATCCCTGAGAATAAGGAGCTTGAATGGAATGATTACATGTGAGGTTGCTTCATGGAAATATTGCTTTCAGTTGTCATTATTTCTAGGTGGTTTCTGCTACAGTGCACTGAATAAGGTGAAAGTGGTTACTAAGACTTACTTCCATGACGTCCGCGATCGTATATTCAAAAGGGAAGGCGGGAAAAGAGATCATATGCCCCTAGGTACACTCAAGTGAACACACTACAAACAGCTTCAATGTATACCGTTCAGACAAATTGTAATTTCTTCTTACCAAGTTGGTGTGGACTGCAAAACTGCTGACAGGATTACTGCAACAATTCCATTAAATGAAAGCTAACTCTATAATGTAATTGTTATTGAGTAGTTATAGGAGCAAGGACAAATAAAACTCACACCGTCTACTATCCTTGCAAACATTATGATTATTAATGCTGTCACTCATATGAATTACGTGCAGATATATATACATACATATAGTTCGAAACACAGTTAGGTCTATTTTTAAACCACTAAATTTTTATCACATATAATACGAGTTTCTTCGAGATTAAAGATACTCCTTGCTAACGACCGACAACTGGCACGACACCTAGGTCCAAGGCTTCTTCCCAATGACCTCCAACCATCTAACAGATATAATAAAGTTGGTATACTCCATATTTATGTAACACGCTACACGCTATTTACGCCTTCGCCATTCTACTATTATTAGCCGAAAACTCCTAGTCCAAGGCTTCACGCCTGTGGCTGAATTATTTTTTACATTTTGGTCCTTCTAAAGACATTTTAATGGGCCTACTGTGTGACTATAGATGACATATACTATATGAATGAACCCTAAATCTGAGAAAATATCTACGTGTATACACTTATATGTTGGACTATATGAACCGTGATCCTCATTTACAAAACACACTTCTACAACAGTAAACAGGAAGAATTATTTTGATCTTAAATGCATAACATATTCGAAAAAACACACAAATTTCACCTCACAAGCACTTTTATAAACCAAGCATCAACTCTATCTCTCACACTGACTAATACAGCCTTGTATGCGCCACAGTTAAATTATGGAATGAAACACATGATTCAGACGCGTTACTTACATTAGCCAGATTATTATTACCACCCGTTATTCGCGCTACCAAAGGAATCATATACGTGCATATCGGTGAGATGATGGAGTTTCCACGTGAAAACAACCACCACCGCGACCTTCAGGTTCCTCGATGCTCTTGAGAGCTGTCATCCGAAAGCACCCCAAATGTCGACCTAAACAAAAGATTACTTACAATTTATTTAAACGTTGGAATATCAGACAGTCTTGTCGACGTCATACCAGCTGTCAGCCGACAAGATTGTTGGCTCTATCCACCTATTTCAGAAGGAAGAAAGAACACAAGAGTTTCATGCATTAGGTTGTATCAGAAATACGACAACATAGGTGAGAGTTATGAATAATTGAGAAATCAATCATGTTTAACAGACAGATAATATTGCAGAACATAACAATCGTCCAAGATATTAACACAACCATCCTCGAGATACGCCTTGTATTGTCTTCAGCCGTAGGTCATCCATCATCCATCGTGAGCAGTGACGAGACAGAACCCGAATCCATGAGGTGAAAGTCGTCCACCTGAAAGAGGAAGACAGAAGAATTACTTCGCGTGGCATACAGGACATAATTATCGTCATATAGTAGGAAGGCTGGAGTGTCTGAAATTATTACGCTAGACATTAGATGCCACGACCACCGGGAAGCAACCCGCAGACAACGCGAATACATATTCGCTACTCGAAGTGTACTGAACACTCAGGCAAATGAAATTCGCCGCGTGTAGAAGACTTTAAGGCCTAGATACATGACGACTCTAGTTCATGGCATAAAAGCGACCATATAAAAACCAGCAATCCCATATTGCACGGCCTGGTGAGTAACATAAACTGATGCACACTACGGCTTATAAAAAAGGTGAACCAGTGAAACTCCCTTCCAAACACCCAAGATCTACCCGTCGCTCACAACTCCCAAGTGCTAGCGTCCCACACAACTCCGAAAGATAGACACAAGTCAAGCTGTCCCTCCCAACACTGCATGTGGAAACATGAGACCTCCTTCCCGTATTGAATTACGACGGCCATTCAGATCTAAAAAACTAGTGATCGCGGACAGAAGGCCTGAAGCCTATGTTGAACCCTCTCTGATGAGTTTCTGTGCTTGTCTACACCTTTCTTGAATGAGTCAATTCAGGCGCCGACACCACACCTCCAGGGATTCGGCTGAAGGAATTTATGACTCGGTGTGAGATACAGTACTACACAGCGACACGGGTTCCCCTCGCTTTCCAACTCTCCTGCCATGTTCTTCGGGATGATCCGACCGTGATCGGAACAGAAACCGTACATGGAGACGTTAACTTCATACCAGGAACCACCAAACGCCCCAAGTTAACTTCGACAAACCATCACAGTAATGCGACGTTAAGCATAATGAATTTGTTAATTAGTTTAATACCCATGTACCCATGTAATACCTAGGTACGCAGCCTTATCCCTTCTGAAGTACTGTGATAAAGTTTCTCACCTGAGCATAATGGGTCACTCAATATCTAGACAACACCGTAAAAAAGATTATTCATGGTGGGTAGTGTGATTTCGCGTCTCAGGGCCAAACTTTAGGTTCTTCATTCGAGTTATTGGGTTGTGTCTGCTAAAGCTTATCTTTACCCCGTGCCTGATGTCACCAACCATTCCGACGATCAGTCCTAGTCTCTCAGAGACTTTTCAGCCGGCTGTCGCACACAGCGAGCTAGTTCCAGTGCCAAATGTCTGCAAAAAACTCACACCCATCATCACATCTACATGCCTCGCACCAAACATTGCAAACTGTGCATACTATCACTGACTGCTTGCGCTGAAGCACGAGTATTTGTGGTGATTGTGAATGAACGCTAGGATTCCTGACCATTGTCGGCGACACTAGGAGCGTTAACTCGCACGTCCTCAGAAAATGGATCAAGTGAAGCTGGTGATGTGGATTTCAAAAACATATAACTTACCCGTGAGTCCAGTGATAGGCGAAACGTATGAAGGTGACGAGTCCTGAGATCACCAACCACTTGAACACCTACGGGCAGCAAGGCACATCATAAGATGGTATTTCCTCAACGATATCTCCGCCCCACCACAAAATCCGACAGCTGAGACAATTCCAAACCATTACCGGCACCACCAAACACCTACATTGATCATCAGAAATATAGGAATCGGTCAACAGAGATTTATGCAAAGTGAAGTGGTAAATGAGTGAAATGAGAAGAATGATAGCGCATATGGGTGGAGTCAGTAGTTAAGCTTTCATGCAGTCAAAAGTGCCTATGACGCTATCACGGACCTGTGAAATGACACCAAGAGATCTGACATATCCACTACACAATGGGATGTGCAATGTAGTAAAACCCAAAGGATGCCCTCACAAAGCCCTTACCCACTTCCCCAATCGATTTCATGAAACAACTCTAAGAAACCAAGAGCGTCATCAACGAGTACTCTTCACAATGCTGATTCTGCCTTGATATGTCTGCGAGCACGATAGTGGGTGGAGATACCCTGCAGACTATTCCGAAACATCAGTTCGGGTGTTTAGACAACTAACTTACTACCTGTAAACCTGCAGCATATGATACCAACTATCCTGTCAACCAGCTTACGCGCCTCACCATATTAGTTGCACTCACAAGCCTGTGCGATAGGAACAATATAACCTTCATCCAGATTAGCCGCTACGACTTGTAGGGAGTAGTACTGTAGAGATGACTGTCAGAGGGGCCTTGACTGGACGATCATCATGAAGTAGGTTGCCCCATAATGCCAGTGAACAGTTTGTCGTCAATAGATCACTAGAATTCTCCTTTGATTGCCATTTTGAAGTCGACTGGACATATACTAGAGGCCAGCGAAGGCTAAATAACTCTGATAATAGAATCCGAGTCCATACATTTCTACGAATTCTAGTGTTGCATCGATGGGTTGATAGACGAAAATCTTATCACAAAACACAGGCAACACAAGACCTACCTCAACACCAGGTGAAAGCAAGAATAAGATGTGGAAGCACCACAACAGCAAATCCAACGAAAAACCCAGCAACAAGGAAACTGAAAGTACAGCGTAACGATACCAGAACTTCCACCAACAATGGCTAAAGAATTCAAACAAATGTTCATCGTTCACTAGACGAATCCAATATCCAATATCCTGATGACGAGCTAGTATAAACCAGTGATTTCTTTGAGCTCGCTTCTTGATTGTGAGGTAGAGGTTCCAGATCTTCGGTGAGCTTCTGCGTAGTAAGTCCCGACACTCGACTGCTTTAGCTCTGGTAGACTCCAGGAGGAGTGGTGCGGGGATTGGTCGAGATGTGGTTTGTAGTATGCAGTATGTTAGGACTGTATTGCTGCCGTGAATGGAGTTTGACCTAACCCCCCTTGGTCATTCGGTGTAGTCATAAAAGCAGAATAGTAATAATAATAATAATAGGTTGTAGTGTAGATAATATAGGTTGAGATAAGTGGAATATACACATTGGGTCATAGGAGTAAATAAGAAGACAGTTGCAGCGAAGAAAATTTTCTTTTCGACGAAGTCATCATCTAGGCTGTACATTCGTGTATTTATATCAAATGGATGGGAAAGTTCCAGAATAATATCCGGTCAAGGGTCAAATTAATAAAAATTAAAATTGGGAATTAGAATGCCATAATAAACAGGGGGATGGATAAAACAAACAAAATAGCATTAAAATAACTAAGAAGACTGACATTGTGCAATTAGGGGTTAGAAATGTAGAAATAACAAAATAGACAGGATGTTTGGATAAAAACTAATGTGATGAATAATTGTTTATGCAATCAGGGATTAAATGTGTAGAAATAGTAAAATGACAAAATAAACACTAAGTTCGGGTAAGAAAATATGGTAGTGTAAACAGGGATTAAGAAAAACTTGAAATAACATGAATAAACAGGAAGTTTAGATAAGAAAGGCGATGGGATGGTCATTACTAAAAATTACTTGTTTATGATGGCCATGGCAAGGACAGGGGTTGGACGTATTTCTTTTGTATACAAAGCGTGGGTTTGAGCTTTTGTATAGCTAGCGCCTCGGCTATGCCCAGATGTCTTGATTTAACTCCCTTTGATGGGTTTGATCGAATCTTGTAAATGATTTTGAAGGATTTTTCGAGTGGCGCTGAATGTCCTGAATTCACCAGGTGTTCTGTCACCGAACTATTTACCCGTTTTCGTTCTCCTTTTACTAGCCAGGCTGGATAGTGTTCACGAGCGCGTTTTTCAAGTCGGCGCATGGTACGGCCAACGTACTCAGCTCCACAAGAGCAAGTAAACTTGTATATGCACGTTGAGGTGGCCCAATGCGACAGCTTGTCTTTCGCGTTCTGGCTGAACAGTTTCTTGCAGGAAAACGTCAGTCGTAGGCTAGCGGCGAAGTATGTTTTCCTCAGCGATTTTGAGAGGCGTCTGCGAAGGATTTCTGCTTCAATCTCACCTTTGAATTCTAGATTAAGCAGAAGCATTTTCTTTGGGACGGATTGGACTTGTTCAGAAGTCTTCTTAGGTTTGAGATTCTTTTCTATGAACCTGGGCGGGAAACCGTTTTCCATCAGGGTTTTTCGAAGATTACGCAGTTCTTCTTCAACCACTTCCTCGCTGCATATCTTCCGAATCCTCGAGGAAAGAGCGTATATCAGGTTCCTCTTTCTGCTCGTTTATTCCCGTTTATTCATGTTATTTCAAGTTTTTCTTAATCCCTGTTTACACTACCATATTTTCTTACCCGAACTTAGTGTTTATTTTGTCATTTTACTATTTCTACACATTTAATCCCTGATTGCATAAACAATTATTCATCACATTAGTTTTTATCCAAACATCCTGTCTATTTTGTTATTTCTACATTTCTAACCCCTAATTGCACAATGTCAGTCTTCTTAGTTATTTTAATGCTATTTTGTTTGTTTTATCCATCCCCCTGTTTATTATGGCATTCTAATTCCCAATTTTAATTTTTATTAATTTGACCCTTGACCGGATAAGTGGAATAATAAGGGTGACATAAGGAAAAGATAGAGTGAGAGAAGGCAGAATAGGTCGTGGGGATTTAGTTAGTACGCTTATTCATTGACAGTTTGGTTTCAAATTTTATGAGGATAAGCCATTGAGACACAAACCTTGCATTTCTGCATGATTGTCTAGCTTCCGCTTAAAAATCTCCACAGATGGCGCTGTAGTCACGGCCGCCGGTAAAGCGTTCCAGAGACGGCAAACACGAAGCGAAAAGAAATGTGATCGCACTCGAGTCTTTGGTCTCTGGTGTGCTATCCTTAGCGGGTTACCTCGTGGAAGCCTATAATCGCTTAATGGCAGGATGCTTTTATTTGGGTGGGCCTGGTCATTTAGGATCTTGTAGACGGTGATGAGGTCTCCCCTGTGCCTACGGTAACTGAGTGTGAAAAGACCTAATTTCTTTAGTCTTTCCTCATATGATTTGTTGCGGAGGCCGATCACCCATTTTGTCGCTCGTCTCTGGACACTTTCTAGAATGTTAGCATCCCTTTTGAGTAGCGGAGGTGCAATGATATTATGCACCTCAAGGTGTGGCCTCACATATGCCTTGTATAGCCTTAAGAACAGTTCGGGAGTGAGAGCTCCCAGCTGCCTGTGCATAAAGTGTAATGTTGCGTAGGCTTTGGCGACGTCCCTCGAGTAATTTCCACTGGTGTCTAGCTTTTCTGTTAGAATAAGACCTAGATCACGCTCTGATGGAACACAACTCAAGTTCTGGCCACCAAGGGTGTAATTTACACTCTGTGACCTGCCGGAATGAAGCTGCACTACTTTGCACTTCTTTAGATTGAAAGGCATTCCGTTAGCCAAAGCCCAATTTCCCAGAGTTTGCAGGTCAGCCTGCAATCTATCTGAGTCTTCCGATGAGTTTATTGCTCTCCAAATCTTTACGTCGTCAGCGTAAAGAAGCGCAGAGCAGTTTAGTTGGGGGGCAGGTCATTGATAAAAATCAAAAACATCAACGGCCCTAGGATAGAACCCTGAGGAACCCCTGATGCCGAGGTGTGCCAAGATGATCGGATGCGGTTGACTTTGGTGCAGAATTCTCTCTCGCCTAAGTAATCTGTCAGCCATGCGAGAAGTGCTCCAGAAACTCCCGCCTTGCCTATTTTGTGAAGGAGCAGACCATGGTGAACTGTGTCGAATGCTTTCGCAAAGTCGAGAAAGATCACGTGGGCTGGTACCTTTTTGTCCCAGGATAGTGTCCAATCGTTCCAGGCTAGTAGAAGATTCGTCACGCAGGATCTTCCCCTCCTGAAACCGTGCTGTGCTTCGTGAAGAAGGTTAGTCCCATCGAAGTATTTTCTCATGTGGTCGTCAATGAGACTTTCCAATATCTTCGATACCACTGGAAGTAGAGCAACTGGTCTGTAACTGGTCACATTCTGCCGGTCACCACCCTTGAAGATAGGGGATAGGATTGCACGTTTCCATTCACATGGAAGTTTCCCTACATCAAGGGAGTGTTGGAACAGATCACTTAGGGGTTGACAGAGACTTTCTGAACACTGCTTCAGGACAGATGGTCTGATGCCATCACAACCTGGAGACTTTCCCGAAGCCAACCTTCCCAATTTTGCAAGTACCATAGCCGGGGTAATTTGAAATGTCCCCAGCAGGTTTTCGTGTGTTGGTTCTGCGATGTAATCTGGATGTTCTGTAGGGGTAATATCCTCGTTACTATTTAGTTGCCTGTGAAAGGCTAGGCTGAATGTCTCTGCCATTTCAAGACTAGTAAGAGATTTCCCATCAGAACCCACTAGATTGCATGCTCCCTGGTTGGTCGGTTTTCTTTCGGCCATAAACCTGTATAGGCTTTTGGGGTTCACGAGAAGCTTATTGGCGAGGTCTCCCTGAAATGTCCTTCTATCGCTCCGGACTCGTATGTTACATCGATTCCTGAGTTCAAGGTACACTTCATATTCGGGTTGACTCTTCGATCGTCGCCACGCGAACCAGGCTTTACGCTTTGCCTGCAGAAGGCGTTGTGTCCCTCTTTTCAGCCATGATCGTTGCTTCCTAGCTTTTGGTGAGACTAAAGGAACAGTGTCTGAGACCGCCTGGTGAATGATCTCCTTTACCACTCTCCAGTGTTCTTCTACTGTTAGCTCTGTCCATTTTTTAGGCCAGTTTGCTTCAGACAGAAGTCTTCGCATTTTGGTATAGTTGGCTTTGTTATAACACAGATAGGGCTGTGTATTGTCCCACTGTAAGCGCTCGCGGAGGACTATGTCGAATACTATGACCGCGTGGTCACTACTACCTATGGGAGTCGTGATCTGAACGTTTTCCACTAGTAGCTGGTCACTAGTGAGCACGTAATCCAGTCTAGAAGACTTCCCATCAGGGCCCCATCTAGTATCCATCTTGACATTTTCAGTGAATCCAGCCTTCCTGATGGTATGCAGCAGATTTCGATCAAATCTATCATGGGCTTTTCCCGACACCAAGTTAAGAGATGGGGCATTGAAGTCACCAGCTATGACAATTTGATCATAACCCATGTCTTGAGTTGCTGAGATTGTATTTAGCAGTACCTGGTTATGGTCTGCTCCACATGAAGGTGATCGATAAATGCTGCCCACTAGATATTTGCAGTACCCAACGGTGAAGTGGCACCATATGGAGTCAGGGAGCTCTGTGAGGGGAGGGTCCGTCGCGTGAACACATCTGAGCTGTTTGTCGACGTATATGGCGACTCCACCTCCTTCTTTCAGGTCCCTATCTCGCCTGACTAGGACCATATCATTTATACTGACTTCGCTGTCTGCCACCGTAGGGGTTAGCCAGGTTTCCGTCAGTATTATGATTTTGGAGTTTAGTTGTGATTGTAGGTGTCTAAGTTCAGCTATTTTGCCTCTTAGCCCTCTCACATTACTATACAGGCAACTGGTAGTCAGTCTCACCACTTCCCCGTATTGGGGGGTAGTTGACTTGATATTGGCTATCGGTTGAGGAGTTATCCTACGAACTAGTTGGCCGATTCCCCAGGAACCGGCCTGTTGGCGTTTTTTTCTTCTAGTTCAGTTGGAGCACTCGGATGACACTGGCTATCATCGTCCGTGCTGCACCGCTGTAGTGTG